CTTTTGCGTTGCAGACGTTCTCGAAACAAGCCAGTGATGCATCTATGATTATTGTCAATTATCCATCCGCTTCGTCGCCCAAAGCAAGGACACGCAATAAAAATTATTTTTTTTCATTACATTAACTCGGTTCTGTTTAACTTCCTAATCATGGGGGGATTACGAATTTTTTAAAAGGGAAGGAACATTTGAAGCAGGCCATATCGTCTTGTTGGGATTTCATGGAAATTTTTTAATAACAAAATAAATAATTTTATTGAAAATATTCTTTCGGCTCCTCGGAACGACTCAACATGAAATAAATTGTTCAGTCACCACAGCCCACAAACTAAAGCAAACTATTGACAAGTCGTCGAAGCACTGGAGCTCATGCACGATATACAGATAGAAGAAATCTATAACACTTTGGAGCGCTGAAATCATTAACATGACATTTCTGCCTGTGAATATATAGTTCCATGGCATTTGCTTGGAAATAAGCCTAGCAGCTCCCTGCAGCTACCAATAATTACCTCTAGATTACGCTGAGCGTCGCAGGGGCTGCCAATCCAGGTAATTAAAATCAATAAATATAAATTAGCCCAGATATTGCTATCTTAAGCAATTTCTTTGAAGCTGTAACTCTTAGGGCGCAAGAATGTTTGCAGATCAAAATCAATCTTTGCTCAGATAAGTTACTTGAAAATCGTGTCTAGTCATTTGACAGCAACGCAGGATAGCCAAGAAGCAATATTTAATTGAAATTGGAATCATTTTATCGGTGCAAAAAGCACTATACACTTTCCCATCTTCTGAGACCTCATCGTCATCTAGCCCCTCTCAGCTTGGTCAACTGCTGAAGAGAAACTTCTGTCTCTTATACACATCTAGATGTGTATAAGAGACAGATTTATGCGCGTGATGTCACTCTGACGTCATTCCTTTGAGCGAACATTTTTCATCCTGGACTCTAGCCACTCGTTCGTACTGGCATGTATTTTCTTAAATGTCATTACTGCACCTTCATGTACATCATGCCTGGTAGTTCTGCGTGACACGAAAGTTCTACCTATCCTAAATAATCAACCTAACGTGGATATTCGATATTTGTCTCTTATACACATCTAGATGTGTATAAGAGACAGCCACTATAGGCTTCGTGGCACGAATGTTCTCAATGGAACGAATAATCTCCGTTGATCGAATATTTCCGTGGCACGAAAATTCTCCGTTGCACGAATGTTCTACGTGGAACGAATTTTATCCGTGGCACGAATTTTGTCCGTGGCACGAATTTTGTCCGTGGCACGAATTTTGTCCGTGGCCGNTCCACGGATGTAGCTTGAATCTTTATATATTGTTTTGTATAGTATCGTAACTCCTACCTTTATACATTGTTTTGTATTGTCTTATAGCTCCTACAGTCCTACCTTCATACATTGTTCGGGTGATTAGACAGTCTGTTTTTTTTTGGCCTTTCCACTCCAAGGAATTAGATATGCTCGAGAACACACTTAGATCTTCACCAGTCACCACGACTGTCAGTTCTACGCGACGTGTTGCTGTAATTGTAATGCCTGATGATGAAGGCATAACTATAAGTTAGTAATTGGAAAATATATAAATGAATAACAATATAGCAGTAATAACTTTAGTATAACCAATTCCTTTGTTAAGAGGAGCGGTGGTGTTGTAGCTTACATCAACCGTGATCTAGTTTAGGAGCAACATTGCAGCAACATTGAAAAGTGCCCAAATCTCGCTTCTATTTAGAATGTGTTCAAAATATTTACAGCCATCTTAAATTGGAATTCGGCCTCAAGCCCAGTGGCTGTTCTAGTGATCTGATGCATTTCTTCATTACTCCACTGCCAGTGGAGTAAGGAAGAAATAACATAACATAACACAACATAGTGATGTCGGCGCTGAAGTGTAGGCCTGATGTGGCCTGTCGCCGATTCTTTTCCTTTTCGTGCCTTGTTCACAGATCTAAACTCTTGTCATGCATCAGATCACTAGAGCAGCCACTGGGCTTGAGGCCGAATTCCAATTCAACATGATGTGAGAACAGTCGTACCTTATATAAAATATATAGAAGATAATACAAATTTTCTCAACGACTGTGCAAGCTGGGGGCGAATGTATAGGCCGTCTCTCATCCAAAGTTCGTGCAGTAAACTATGCAATGTTATGGTGGAGCTCTGCTCAACTTGCGCCCGCACGGCGCCACATCGTCTGAGGCCTCTTTAATGCTAGAAGTAATCGAAATGTTCCAGAATAAACTTCTTCCGATTGGCTCTTCTGATTGCTTCGATCATAGCGTTTAACTTCAAGCTCAAACTGCACCATCCACGATGATCGGTGAAGGGAAGCAAATAATCAGCAGTCGTATAAATAATAAATTTGCATGCATATTTACCGTACCAACCAGCACATCAACATAAAATCGAAAAAAAAACAACGCATCGATTGTTGTGCTAAAAGAAGTAATTTTGAAGTCGATCTGTCCACGCGGACTCGGGAATAACACGAAGGACAACAGATAATAGCTATTTACAAGAATAAGTTATATATATATATATAATATTTTTCTGCTTCTCGTTCATTAGACCGAATCGACACTTCTGATTCGGTGTTCATGGGCAGCACGGTAGTGCGTAGTGTACGAAATAGTTTGTTTTGGGAACCGCTTTCAGAGCCACAGCCACACTTCATTTCATTCAGCAGGGAAGGCAGGCTTTTAGGTGTTTAATGCAGCCTGTTGTCGAGCAGCTCTGGCTGTCAACCAAGACAAATCTTGTCTGATTTTGTGTCTCAGAGCGCATCCGCCATATTCCGATGGCTATTACAGCATTTATTTTAACTGAATTCAGGGTGCAAGTTGCATTACCAATAAATGTTAACTACACACCTGCAATGTTAAGTTGACTAAAAAATAAAAAAGTACCAAGGAAGCATTTCTTGAATATAAAAATTGACAACCTGTTCAGATCGTTGAAGTAAATAGCGTGTTAGGCATTCTTTGTTAAGGTATTCAACCTTCTGAATAAAAAGAAATATAGAATTAATAGTAACCGAGAAACCCCAATGGTAAAGTATTTTTCACATGTGAGAGAATATGTTCTGCATCTCATCGCTATTGTGTTCATCCGATAACAGAAGTATCGTTCACTCGTACATGGCATATAAGAATTTTTTACAAATCTTCAGTTTATGGAAATGAAATAACATTAGAATATCCAGTAAAATAACATATCAAATTATACTATATATTGAAATTTGATCATGGAATTCTTTATGATCAACGTTATATTAGAAATTTTTCTGTTAATGTAGTAGCTAACTAGAAAGATTAAGTGTAGGTTAAGGTAGTAGAAATTAGGGAACGTGGCGTGCTATTTGGAGCTTGAAAGTTGTGGCATTGAGTGCAGTGTTGACGACCTCGTCATAATTGTGATAGACTCGCTAACACCATTGAATTGACGCATGTAAAGGGCCCTTGTTAGTCAATGCATGTAATTTCACCTCTTAGTCCTCTGTTGTGTCAGTAGTTACGACTTGGGGAAATTGCCGCGTTCATATTTGTTGCTATTCAAATTGGGAATATTGAATATAATTGTTAACTCACGAAATATGTCAGCTCATAGCGTTTCTTTTTAGTCAGACTATTCATTCTTAATTTCAGCGCTGGATTTGAACTTAACCTCCGAGATTCTTTTGCGCACTCGGAAAATTTACAGTGGATTGCTGATAAAATTAATTTAAATAGTTATATATGCTTGATTTCCTCATGGCTAATTTTATCGGTGTTTACCATAAAAAATTATTTTTTATGACAAAAATGAACAGAAAATTTTTTGTGGTATACGTTAGTAATTCTAAGATTCGTATATAACTTCGTATTAGTTGACGCCGAAAACCAAGTGAAAATGAAATCGCACAACTTCCACACTGAGAAGAGGTAGATTCTAATAAGGCTTTAAAGTTATCATGATGATGTAGACGGTTCCAAAGAAGATTTTATGAAGCGTCGGACTTGCAATTTGATGCTGACAGAATATCAATTTATTAATATTTACATCGGATTTAGGTATCAGGATTTGTTGCTGTTGTTACTACATTTTTCAGTCTGAGCCATAAAGAGAGAATTGGATAGCAAATGAAACACGTGCATCGTCTTACACACTTTACATCGATACTTTGATTATTACTAATCACTTGATTACATTGTAAAGCAGATGAAGATTGTTTCATTAAGTCCCAAGGCTCAGATAGGGTAATCTAAAAGTCTAAATGCATGTGGGAATACCTCTATTTTCATCGCGAAATCTGGACGTGCTATGGACTCAATTAAAAAATCGCCGATTTGAAAATTATTTTGAATTTTCAACTAACACTTTCCGCTCTAATCAAATTTTGATGCCTTCTATCCCACTAATTGTTTAATTAATTCTAGAAGAAATCACCTTACCCAATGCTGTTTAAGCATTGCGCGTTCCTCGCAAAAATAAATTTTCAAAATAGCATATTCGTAGAACATCATAAAATCGGGAGAAAATTACTGCGCACTGTGCGCAGTGGAAACATAAATGTTATCGAAAATACGTATACACTCGCTCCTGTTTTTTATGACAAGGAGGCAGTTGCGAAGTGCCTCATTTCCTTTAATCCAAGGAGCTTCATACCATCGGAATTTGTTTACTACACTTAACGTCTCAATTTACCGAGGGGCGGAGCTAAGGGCAACCACATTATCGTTGCCTTCCACCGCCATTTAGCTCAGGTTAATATGTGCACTGCTAACAGAAGATGACGCATTAAATTCATTCCAGACTTTTTTGTTCATCTAAACAAAACTTTCAAAAATTGAAAAATAATGTGGAAGCTTTTTCTGAACAAAATCTTTCAATGATTAAGATCGTGAAGTTGAATATAGTGACTTGCGACACTCCGGTCAGTGCATCTTTTTTTTCCTCATTAGTGTGTCTGTCTTGGAGTCGGTGCGATAGTTATGGCTTAGACGTAAGAGGGTTAGGGTGTTATTCTCTCGTCCGAAAGATCGACGAAAAAAGCTGTCGGAGAGTGAGGATAAAGAGTTTTCAGCGCAGGTCGCCTGTAATTCATTACTGAGAAGTTTCATTCATTAATCTCCTTTGCAGAGCTTCATCAAGAAAGCTCAGGGTCATCGAGCCCAATTGGATGTATCATCTTTACTGAAAAGTTCCTTGTGAGAAACGATCGCTGGGTAAGGCAGAGGCCCAAGACGCCGCTAAAATGTGCTAGCTTGACCTGAACTGCCTTTCCGTGGTGGCTCTGAAATCCTAATTAAAGAAAAACTGCCGCGACTCCTACAGTATTGGTGAGTCCATGCCTGTTTACTGCGCGTGTGCTGATAGTAATGTTTTCATATAAGTCAATATTATTGGTCTTTGCGATTTATTGTTTTTTCACGCGAAAAAGGAAACTTATGAAAACTATGCTACTAATTTCCCAGCATTAAAAATTGAGCCTTTATATTTCTTCCAAAACGAAACATGATAATTACTCTACTCTGTATGTATATGAGTTGTTTATGACACAAAAAAGAAGAGAATATTTTTCTCGCGTATTAATTCAATAATTTTCAAATCAAAAATAATCTGTATTACGATGTAAATTCAGTCGAAAAGGAGAACATTTAGGTATTCGAAAGTGCCATCTAATGCCGCTCCTTCATGTTCTAGATAGCATCTTAAACTGTATCGAACGAACGAAATGGCATTCGTTCGTTATCACGTAGTGTCGTTATTTGCATTCTGGAAGTTAAGAATTAGGAAATTAAGAATTATTTGCTATTACATGTTGCCAGAGCACGAAATTAATCGTTATATCTCGCGGAAATTACAGTGAGGTGACCCTATTTTCCTTGCCCTGCAACATATTGCACGTCCAAGATGATGCTTTTCCAAGGCGTTGCCATTGATCGTATTTTGAGGTTGCACGAAAATCCGCCCCCTTACGTGTGTTACATAAATTATCGCCAATAATGTTTGTGTTTACATGTCTCTTTTTCAGCCTTGGTCTGCCTGAGATCACGTACAAGATTACATTGACAGTAAATAAACGAGATGTTTATTTAAGTATGGCAATGTAAATTTAGTTATCGTTCCTCTATACTCCGTTCTTTAGTGTATTGAAATCAATCTGAATTTCATTTGTTTGTCTTTTCACATCCGTCTGTTATCACTCACTAATTTTTTATCTCTCATTAGCTTGTTATCACTCGTCAGATATCTTATCAATTTTTATCGCTCATTAGTTTGTTATCGCTCATAATTTCGTTATCACTCGCCAGTTATAGCTCATTAATACAGTCATTGGTTAAATGGTTAATAGCTCATTAGTTTGATCGTTCATTAGTTCGTTATCGACTTACCGCTTACCTGTTATCTTCTTAGTTTGCTATCACATATTAGTTCGTTATCGCTTGCCTGTAATCATCATAGTTTGCTATATCGCTCATTGATTCGTTATCGCTTGCCTGTTATCTTCTTAGTTTCCAATCGCTCATTAGTTCGTTATCACTATCGCTTAATTGTTCGTTATTGCTCGCCATTTATCTTCTTAGTTTGCCATCGTTTCTCAGTTCGTAATTGTTTGTTTGTTATCTTCTTAATTTTCAAGAAATTTAAAAGCAAACAAAACATCAAGCAAATTCACCATATCGATATTGAAAACGTTTCGGAGCCAGCTCCATCATCAGTTCGAAAAACTAAAAATGAATAAAATCATATTATAAGTCAAAATTCTATGACAGACATAAAACCTAAACAAGACCTAACATTATATAAAAATAAGGACTCGATCGGAACAACTTTGTCCTAGAGGCTAGGGGTCACGAAAAGAGTAAAGCTTAAAGAAAAAAAAAAACACTAAAACAAAACAGCCTATCGATTCATTATTTCAGAGAAAACGTCATTTCTTGGCGTTTTCTTTGCTTTTTAAATTCCTTGTGAACTTATAGCGATATAAGCACACTGATAATATAGGTACTTCTTGATTTGCTATCGCTTATTAGTTCGTTGTCGTTTGTTTGTTATCTTCTTAGTTTGCTCTCCCTTATTTGTTCGGTATTGTTTGCTTGTTATCTTCTTAGTTTGCTATCCCTTTTTAGTTCATTACTGTTTGTTTGTTATCTTCCTAGTTTGTTATCGCTCATTATTTCGTTATCGCTTGTCTGTTATCTTCTTAGTTTGCTATCGTTTATTGGTCCGTTATCGCTTGTCTGTTATCTTCTTAGTTTGCTATCGTCCATTAGTTAGTTATCGCTTGCCTGTTATGTACTTAGTTTGCTATCGCTTATCGTTCCGTTATCGCTTGTCTGTTATCTTCTTCGCTTGTCTGTTATATTCTNGGGCCTGGGGCTACAAATCTGTGCCACTAATGAGCCCCAGTGGGTCAGGTAACATCCACAGCTTCCCCCGCAGGTCGGGTTACGTCCCCGACGTCGCGACTTCCTGCCCCAACATGCGGGTGCCTGCATTCATTATCCGTCGTGAGACCCTCAGGGCGCGAAGTGATTTTCCGTGGCATTTTTTCCTGCCAAGACATTGGTTATTTCTGATTTATTTTGCAGCACGTTAGAATTTCAATGTGTTTAAGCGGAAGTTAATGAAATGGCCTTTTCGTTGTGTTATATCCCAGTTAGGTTGATAGTATATACAGGATGTCCAAAAAAAAGATACTCAACTTTGGAATGGCTGTAACTCGAAAAGTAATAGAGTTAAAAAAATTTGGAAGGTCAGGATTTGTTTCCTATGTTTTTCTCCATCTCTCCACCAAAAATCAGACAGATCGATGTAGCCATAAGCGTTTGACAGAACTTTCAGTGACATGTGCTAAAATTGTGCTTGCGCAAAGTATTAGTAAGATCATTTTGCATAATCATTACGATGTCTTGACATGTTTTCTTTTCGCTGTTTTATTTTTTGTATCTGTGGTGAGACAAAAACTTGTCAATCTTTGGTGAGAGATAATCGTGGCAATCTTACGTGAGCTACGTAAGAGTCTCTGCCCGCTGCTCATTGCCGCTCAGTCCATGGAATGCCAGGCACGGCCGAGCCTCCCGCCCGGCGCGTCGCAACAAGCCGTGCATCGCGCGCCGTGCGCCTCGCGCTCCAGATTCCTTTCACTCCCACACGTTTTGGTGGACTTGGTAGGCCTCAGGTGATCATCGTTTGCTGTCAGCCAAAGATTTTTGTTTATTATGTAAAATATGATGAATTATGAGTGATTGCGTTTGAGTTAATGAGTTTGAGTTACGACGAAAGTTTTTGCAGGCATGTATATAGGTAGTCTACTCTGGAGTAAATGCTGTACAAGTGCATTGGAAAAAATGCGCATAATACATCAAAGTTATATATGTATACTGTTATGGAATGTATACTAAAGAGTTTTGTGAGGAATCATGACTGACTCACACAATTAGACAAAAATAAAGTAAAGTAGATTCAGCTAATATTTATTGAAAATTGGTGATATGCAGGTGCTCCTGCAGGGCGTTGATGAGGCCATTCTAATAGAGCGGCTGAATCGGAATATTTATATAATGGAGTATATATAAATAGAATAGCCGAGAAGCTGGTAATTTAAAAAAAATGGTCTCAATAATGTGGTATCGTATTCACCAGAAAAAAATGCTCCTTAATGGCATTGCCCCGATGAGTCCCCGAAACAGAAAAAGCAAAAATAAAACCGTTCTCTAATTGATGGATTAATCCTGCGTATACGAATGACCAAGCTATATGAAACAAAAAATGACGTATGTTTATGAACCAAGATTGGCTAACGAACCTAAAATTTGATGCGTTTTAGTGCTAATGTTGCTTGAAAGCGTCAATTATGAAATATAAAAGAAATCGGTGAAAGGAAGGGACTCTATAGACTTGAAATATAAAAGCTTAGTTGTAGACTTGGCTTTGAAAGGTTGAGGAAACGGTGAAGAACGTGAGTCACAGCTTAGGCAACGTGTTCCGGCCAACACTGCATGGAGACTCCGTTTCACAATAAAGTTGAGACTTGAGTTAGTAATAATTGAAGAGTAACGTAGAGTAGAGAGTAACAAATTTATGCAGAGTAACTTATAATAGTTAAGTTTTGGTCTCAGGAAAATTTGATCCAAAGGGAATTATTTATAGTTATACGAGTATATCGCTCTGGCTGCTTCTTGTCAGAGCGAAACTGCTGCTATAATTAGATAAGTAGAGCTAACTACATTTTGTCCCAGCTCAATGGTAGATAGTTATCCCCCTGAGTTAACAATGTTCTTCTATTGGTTACTGATTAAATTCTAATTATATTAAAACATTGCTCTTCTTATAGAAAAATTTCAAATTGTTAAAAAATGTAGAGCCCATATTTTCATTTGTAATATTTATAATATATATTTTCATAAAAAGTCTTTTTGCAACGACAAAACATTATTAGAAGAAAGATTATTTGAAAGACTACATCTTGATGACCACGTCTGAAGTTCTGAAGTAGCTCAGCAGCTGTGCTCAATTGAAACTTAAAATACCGGGCATTTTTGTCCACGCGTCTGAGACGCCTGCCCGGTAAAGCAATCGTCTCTCCGTTCCCTTTAGTGTTTACTTGTGTCCTACAAACAACTGTACTTGCGCCTCGAAGCTCTTTAGTATTTACTCTACCGTACAAAATACTTTGTTTTCTTATTTCTGAAGCCTTCTTAGAAGCTGCAATATGTCTTCCTTGCTAAAAGTCTCCGAGCCAGTAGGTACCGAGAAAAACTATCTTTAATTACTAACTTTTTTCTATTGTAAATATCTTCTCATTTGTAAAGTACCATTGAAAAACCAAGATGTTGATGTCTCCTATATACGAAACCACTTTGGCTCAATTAATTTTGTTCTATGGGCATTTCGAATAATATTATCTTCGAACGTTGCGGTCGAAATTTCCTTCACAGTCATGATTATAATTATCATTGGATTTTGCACTGCAGCTTTCATCGGGCAGAACTACAATGCAGCAAATCTAAGAAAATAATCGGCTATGTTCAGTGTTGGAGGCAGTCCAGTTCGATTTTGATTACTAAGGAAGCATTCATTAAAAAAAATTAATTATGGAGAAACGCCTATAGGAATTGCTGCACTACTCACACCGTCCCGTTATGCCACGCTAAAATCTCCAGTCTGCATTTTCTTCTCAGACTGTTCTCCAATCTTATTTTCGCGCACAGTATGTAGTTTTACCACATAGTGTGCAGTTATATGTACATATTATGTAGCTGTAGCATATAGCATGTAGTTATGTAGTATATTATGTAGTTTTTGCATGTAGTATGTAGTTATGTAGTATATTATGTAGTTTTTGCATGTAGTATGTAGTTATGTAATATATTATGTAGTTTTTGCATATAGTATGTAGTTATGTAGTATATTATGTAGTTTTTGCATATAGTATGTAGTTATGTAACATATATTATGTAGTTTTTGCATTTAGTATGTAGTTATGTAGTATATTACAAGTTTTCATATACGCCCGATTGTCGCGGCTTCTTACATGCGATCCATCCCCAAAATTCATGACATTCTCACTCTTTATAAGAACTAAGAAACTAACGAACATTTATGCTCTCTGTAAAAAAAAGCTAATCATGTGTTTCATGAAATAATTTGTGTGCTGGCTAGAATTTCAAAAGCCACCCAAAAAACTAGCCAGGCAGTAACAATCCAAAAAGTGAAGTTATCGTAGCGACTTCCCTCTTTATTTTTTTCTTGTAAAACTTACGGACAAAAATTCCACACACAAATAAAAAATAAGTTACATAACATTGAAAATTAACCAGAAAAATAATGGACTCTAATCAACATGAATATTCAGGATGTCGGAGGAAATTTCAAGCTTCAAAAGAATAACAGTGCAAAGCGTTACACATCCGGCAACTATAGCGAGGGTGAGGAGCCCTATATAGTCTTCTTAAAAACTCTTCAGGTAGATTCTAGAATCTAGTTGACTCTGTCGAAAAAAAATTAAATGAATTTCATTAGAGCTGTAAAACGATTTTTAACCATGACAGTGACGATAATCACAAACAAACTCAAACCCCTACTCGTCACAAACTATGTTTAAGAGTAGCGCAGCTGATACCCAACTCGCACTCGCAGCAATAGCAGAATTAATGAGCAATGATCGAGGCAGGTGCCGTTGCTACTAAGTACAGTTCCTGTCGAAACTAAAGGCATCATTTGAAAACTTCGTGTCGCACCCGCGCTGGACGGAGAATTTTCGTTATGTCAGAGTTACTCGTCTCCATATGCGATGCCTATTTTTCCCGCGTGTCGCACGGTGACGATATTGGAATATAAAAATTTTAGTTAAGAAGTCTATACGATCTTCTGCTAAGCGAACTAAATTCTTTGATGTTATGTGGAAGTGGTCGTGTATTTTAATAGACATGAACTTGTGAAATATTAACTGACTAATACGCCAATAAATATCTCACGGATATCAGCGCTGAGTGCTTGGCAGGCACCGTACGTAGTAATTGTTGTACGTGCTCGTCCAAATATTTTTGAAGCACAGGGAGGCATTGCCATTTAGGTGTACAATAATTTTATATAACCGTCACCAGAGAAGCTTGAAAGTATACGTGCTCGTCCAAATATTTTTGAAGCACAGGGAGGCATTGCCATTTAGGTGTACAATAATCTTATATAACCGTCACCAGAGAAGCTTGAAAGTCATATTGGCCAATAAAGTCAATTCATGTATTTCTCGCGGTATGAATATCGCTCCGAAATAGTTGCAAAAAACTGCTTGTGCGGGATAATTACCTCTAGCAAACGATGATATTTTCCATTGACTGTTTTTACTATCAGAAAATGATCGTAATATTACGAATTACATGAAATTTTTGTGAAGTTACGAATTAGGATTAGACAAGCTATACATTTGCCCGGTTACGGTGATGCTTTCCCATGTCAACTTCCTCGTTACATGAAACAATATTTATTTTCTTTTAACGTTATGGACAACTACGTACGTAGAGGTGCTTCGTGTGTGTTCAGGCGTAACGGCTTGCCGCGCGCAATGTTGTCCGACTTGTCTGGAGTGTTTAGCTGCCACACGAAGGTGTGATTCTAACGCTCGTGTTTGTTTTGCGGACAGCTGGAGAGGTTGTGGCGGAGTCCGCGCTGAGTGATCGCGTGCGCCGCTCCGTGGGCAGGACAATGCGCGCCTGTCACGTCGGCAAATGGACGCTCTTCACCACTTCAGTGCCACCACATCAAAGAAACTCTGTTCCTCGCTCCTCAACCTCCACAAGTGCGCTGGCTCTTGTCATTGCCACGTGCTGTGTCACGCAGTGAACACCTTCCTTCGCTCTACACCACGAGTCTGTTCCGTGATGGACCAGCGGCAAGAGATTAGGATTCGCGGCGATTTGGGCATTTTCTCAAATGCTAACCGAATTAAGACCATGTGCTATCACCGTTCCACTAATGTTGTATTTAGGAAATTTTCACGCAAACACGAGTGCAAGGTCGTGAACGACAATCTTAAAAGTGAGCGTGCTGCTGTAAACTGTGATAACACGTTCTTGGTGAAAAGAGAATGTAAAGATGCGGCAGACTTACTCTACATGCAACGAAGTGAAGAGACGGATTACTCATTACTCAGTTCAGCCCACAAATCAAATCCTGTCAAGAGGCCTCTGCACTGGACTCGTTTATTTCCTACCGCATCTAGTTTGAGAGTTTATTTAATTATATTATTGTTTCTTGCTCAGTGTTCGGCCAAACTAGTGGCTGGCTTTTCTAGTCAACTGATTCTAAGGGAAAAAGTGAAAAACCATCCTCCTCATCAAGCGATTTATCCGATGTTCTCTTCTGCATCTGTGTCACGGTCCATCCGCAGTTCAGACAACTCGGCAGAAGCCGACTTCTCATACCCTCTCAACTCAACGCTCGCGTTCGCAAGATTTTCGGACGCAAATTCTACTTCACCTAAAGTTCCAGATTCTTGTGAAGTCTCTAACATCAAATGCGCCCTTCGATCTGGATGCGGCATGGCGCTTCAGGTAAGAATGACCTTAATTCAACTTATTTATAAGTTTTCTCCATAATTTGGTCTCCATTGATATGGCTTTATCGAATCTATATTGGCATAGTTTTTAGAATTGAAACTCGTGGTCTAATTGTTCATTTACAAGTAACTCTCCCTTGCAAACTAAACAGTGAGTTCGAGTGCGTGGGTTCAAAAACTAGGGTAACTTTAATTATGATGGTAATTATCGAATAAATAAACAAATCATTTTGCTATATTTCGACGTCCTAACACTTCAACGGCCTTTGTTATATCCTTGTTATTCCCCTAAAAATGAAACTTTGTTATGTGGGGTCAAAACAGTTGGACAATCTAGCAACAATTCCTGTCCAGTTGAGTTGACAGTCAAAAATCGCTAAATCTACAGAAATGCCCATCAATAATAAAAAGTTTAACTTGCTTCGATTCGTGCAACCGGGATGTCTCATTTTATATTAATCGTTATGGAATATTTTGTCGTGTCTAATGCCGCAGTATGATGTCATGTGTTACGTCCCGCTCTATATCTGTCAAGTAACATTTCATATTTTTCGGGATGTAATTTTCGAGTTGCAGGAAGATGTAATTAATGTCACGCTGTATAACTTTACTCCTGGACAATTCCTTCCTTTCCTCTTTTTATTCTTTCCGAAATATTACTCGTCTCGTTGTCCCTGTTAATTTCGAAAATTCAATTCCAAGGCCAGGAGGTTTTACAAGAGTATATATGTTCCCTCCATACTTTGTTTCGTTACAAACACATGAGTACGTGAAAAATAAACAAGCATCGCGCTAACTCATACGTGTAATACACAGTCAATTCATGTTGACTGTGTACACCACTCGTATAGAGTATATATATAAACAAATGGACGCGCAACCGCGGACAATATAGTATATACATATCTGTTCATTATATACTCGCTAAATAATGGTAATAGTAATACATAATGTGGTGTGAAATTTGTAGTATTTTTTTTTTATTTTTTTAGTGCGTTCGCTGAATAATGGTAATAGTAATACATAACGTGGTGCTAAATTTGTATTGTTTTTTGAGTGCGTTGAGCCTCGACGTTTTGTACTGGCAGAAATACATGCTGGACTGCGCTGACTTGATCAGCGGCCGCACCGAGCGCTGCGACGACCACTGCAAGGACAGCCTCCTCATCCTCACCTCGACCCAAGAGGGCCGCGCTCTCATGGAGGTGAGTTGTGATTCTTGTCCGACGATGTTCCTGAACTTGAGATCATCTTTAGGGTACGCACACAGTGGAAGCAGGTTTGCCCGTGCGGGCAACCTGCTCCAACCTGCCACAAGAATGAACATAGGATAATAATGTAAGTGTTCACAGTGAAAACCTGTACAAATAGGCCAGCGCCAGGCCTGTTTATTTCAGCGCTGGCAACCTGCTTTCACTGCGTGGGACCCTAAATTATGTCTTTGTGTCTCTCATTTAAAAGTTTAGTTATAAACTTTGATGGGGTTGGCTGCTAGATAAAAATTTTCATAGCAGATGTGCAAGACTAGCTTTATTTTTGAGGTCACGTGCGGAAATATTGATCCGAGTCAACATCAATTTCCATGTAATCAGTCTAATAAACTATTGAATAAAAAACTCCGAATTTTTTTGGTTTTAATTGTGCAATTAGCTTTGTTATCATGTCAGTGTCTACAAATTTGACTTGAGAATATGATTCTGCAACTGCCTTGTATGTGAAATCAGTCTAATGATTATTAACTTACGGACGAATAACTCCGAAATTAGATATTAATTGTGAAATTAGATATAGTTATTATGGCAGTGTTTAGAATTTTTTAAAAATCAAAACTTTAAAAATTTTAAAATTTTTTTAAAAATTAAGTGTTTTTTAGAATTAGTTGATTCTAAAACTGCCATGTAATTGATTTGATAAATTCTGCTGTTGTGTCGCCAGTGCGCGTGCAGCGACCAGTTCTGCGAAGATACCAAGGCGCGGCTGGAGGTGTGCCGGGAGGAGGTGCTGCGGCTACAGGCGCACTACGGCGAGTACTCTTGTCGCCTCGCACATCTCCTCTGCACCGCCGACACTCGCTGCGCCACCGCCATCGCTTACTACGACAAGTTCTGCCGCAGGATGTTCTCCGGCAGGAGGTAGAGTATTTCTAGTCTTGTTTATTTGTTGCTACGTAAAAAATAAGTATAAAACTTTCATTGCCATTTATAATTTCAATCAGTCACTAAAATAACTTATCCTGCATATAGATTGGTCGTGACGATCTTGCATATATATATTTTTTATCCTGATACTCACGAGTGCTTCTCGTCCGCACTCGTCAACACGTTCAACTTAGCCAGACGTTACTTCTTATCTCGCATCTCATTTGAAGCTGTCATGTTATTCAAGACTACGTGTTCATCTCATTGTTTAACTTTTGTTTATAATATCCAATCTCACGCACTGGTATCTTGTTACATGTCTATTTTGAGCCGAATTTCACGCAGATTGTTGTTCCCGATATATCTTTTAAACAAGCGGCAGATTGTTTTTTATAGTATGTAATCTCAACAACATGCATACGTTTAAGCATGAAATGGCATGCCTCTAACTGTCATAACGTTATTCGTGATATGGCATGCCACTAACAGTCATAACGTTACTCGTGATATGGCATGCCACTAACAGTCATAACGTTATTCGTGATATGACATTCCACTAAGAGACAGCACGTTAATCGTGATATGGCATGCCACTAACAGTCATAACGTTATTCGTGATATGGCATGCCATATCACGAATAACGTTATTCGTGATATGGCAAGCCACTAACAGTCATAACGTTATTCGTGATATGGCATGCCACTAACAGTCATAACGTTACTCGTGATATGGCATGCCACTAACAGTCATGACGTTATTCGTGATATGACATTCCACTAACAGTCATAACGTTAATCGTGATATGACATGCCACTAACAGTCATAACGTTATTCGTGAAATGTCAAGCCATTAACAAACATAACGTTATTCGTGACATGGCATGCCACTAACAGTCATAACGTTATTCGTGATATGGCAAGCCAATAACAGTCATACTGTTATTCGTGATATGGCATGCCAATAACAGTCATACTGTTATTCGTGATATGGCATGCCACTAACAGTCATAACGTTATTCGTGATATGGCATGCCAATAGCAGTCATGACGTTATTCGTGATATGGCAAGCCAATAACAGTGATACTGTTATTCATGGTACGTCATCCCTCTTGCAGCTGCTCGGCTCGCTGCAACAACAGCATCTCGATCCTGCAGCGGCAGGAGAAGGCTGCTCGGCTGGAGGCGTGCGAGTGCGATGGCTCAGAGCCGTTCGACTGCCACAACATCAAGAAGAACATGGCGAGGCTTTGCTTCCACAAGCTTTCGGAGGAGGAGAAGCAGCAGGAGGAAGAGGAAACCAACGAGATCGACACTTCCCGGCTGGGAGACAAGTCTCGAGCAGCCACAGCGTGTCTCAGTCTCCTTCTCTTTGCTGCCGTCGGGGTGGCGTCTATGGCTCAGGCTACTTCATGGAGGGTATATACGCGAAATGGCCTGTACTAGTCTACCTACGATGAGAATGTGCGACTTATGTGCTATTGAATTTTTGTTTTTATATCTGAAATTTGAACTCATTGCAGTTTATTGTCACCATTCAAAGTCCCAAAACTTTTCACATGTCAAGCGGTTATGACACAGACGCGCAGCCAAACGAACGTTAATCAAGTGCATTTGGTTTTCTGTTTCACATCAGGATGTTCGCCGCTAGGATACATCAATTTTTTCTTCTAAATTTTACTGCAGTGATCGGTAACACGATAGGGGAAGTTCTCATGAAAGCGTGCAGTGTTATTATGATTTAGTGAGGTGATATAGGATTTCTGGTGAAACTAAATATATCTCATAATGAAAGTAAGCTGAAATCTTTTGCACAATAAACCCCATCCGAAATCTTATTGTATTTTAAAGGAAATCTTGAGGTAAATCGAGGTGTAAAGCTTTCAAAAGCATTTTTGAGATTTTGATGCATCCGAATTGCTACTTTCATTTCACCTCAGACATGCTTGCATCGACATGCCACTCGGAGTTCTTCCTCAAGCGTAGCCTCTGAGTCAAAAATCGATAAAAATGGCTTTTCAGTTTTGTTAGCTCATTTGTAGCCGAGAACAAGACCCTTTTAATGCAGCAGGTCATGAGCATGCACGTGCCTCGTGTTGCACCTGAGGCAGTTTTTAACTTGTAAAAATTTTTTATAAATGTTTATAAATTTAGCTTCACAAGAAGTTGTAGACTTTTTCATTACTTGGACTACGTTGGATTAATAAGTACTTACGCTCTCTTTTCTTGCCCATGATTGATGGATTTTGCTTGAAAGTCCGTCAATGATTGGCCGATGAACTTACGATCTCTTAATTTTTTTTAAAGTATAGGTCCAGGTCTCAAAACTTGTGAAAACTGTACATTTTCCGCAATCGATACAAATATTCCTTAGCAAATGATATGTATTTAGATTATAATTAACCTCAAACTGGACCAAAATAAGTCATGTGGTGAATGTTGGTACTCACATAACGAGTAATGAGTGATGGTAAAGCCGGTGACAGTACCATGCAAGCAGTTTTTGACCTTGTTCTTCTTTTTGAACCTGTTTTATGTATTTGGTCGCCCTGAACAATTTGATTTGTTAGGTATCAAAGCTTATAACTCCTAGAGTTTAGGAGCTACAACTTCGAGAGATCTAACGTTTGATTTGTATTACAAATATCTATCGACTCTACAAGCCTTATTTACTGATTTATGTAATTAAAAAAAATTCGGTTGAAAAGAAAAATTAAAACGCCCTTAAAAACATCAAAAACTCCATAAAAAAGAGCTTTAGATTCGATAGAAATTTGCTTTATGCGTATAATACTATTTTTCTAAAATTTAAGCTATGAAACTGAATGTGTTTACAACTTTTATAAAGCCCCTATTTAAAACATCTTCTTTACATCTCACTTTTATTCCTGCGAACATAATGTGCTTGTATTGGTGTTTTACGTACGTGTATGAATTCCCGAAATTTCGGCCAATTAATGAAGAATTTTTATCGAGATGCACCCTTTAATTTTTTTTTCTCATTCGATGGTTGAGAGTTTCACTGTCGATGGGTATTCTAATACGAAAACATACTTTGAATTATTCGTTCCTGATATTAACACTGCTTTATTCAATAGTTTCATGGTACTCGTATTTATTATACGAGTACTCCAAATCTGGTCTCGCAAGAAGCAATGTTTGATGTCATTTGAGAATGGAAAGCTAATTTAAACAATTATTTGTTGCACATTAGGTGTATGTGTAGTGTGATGAAAAGAATGTATGTAGATAAAAACGTGTAAAATTGCAAAAAGTAAAAGCATTGAATAGAATCGTGAGATGTGTTCCAATAATCCTTGCCTTCGCTCGTTCGAAACCTGAAAAGATTGGGGCATCCATCGTTACGCTCATCGTTATGGTCGATTTTCCATTTGTGATGGACAAGTTAGGCTGAAAGTCTTGAATCGTGAACGGCTGAACCATCAGTAATGCCGCCAGCATTCACGTGAACGTGACCTCGCCGGAAAGTTTTTTTGAGATCAGAACGACTTTTACATGAATGCTCCCATTATCAAGTGAGCGTAGCACGAAAATACTGGGACTACTATGAAGAAAATATTCTAACTGATAAAGTCTTATATCAAGAATATGCAGAAAAAATCTATCACAAAAAGCAGTGAAAGTTTCATTGCTCTGGTCTCCTAATTAAGCGTCCGCAAGCCAAATATCCCATTTTATTATAACGCTGCAGATCAATTAGCTGTTCACAAATCGGTTGGCAAGCAATTCATGCGGATCATAATCCAAAAATTCCTAGGGCTTAATTTCCAATGATCTGCGAGCTGAAGCAATTAAGGGTTTTTGTCTTCGTCGATGCGTGGCCCCGTTAACTGCTTTCATTTGTGGCGCGGCGAGAGAAGCTTTCGTTCCAGCGAGCGGCCGCGGACCACCCGCGCCGCCCGCACTCTCTCGACCTGTCGCTCCTGCGAGCGTCTCGAGAGACAGACCTCCCGCTATGAACACCCATGCTGCTCCAGCTCTGAAATACAGCGCTTTTTTTCGCGTTGAAGCTCAATGAGCCTATTGGTGCTTGCATTTTTCCCTTGCCAAAAGATAAAGTGCAATTGAAAACGAACGATCTAAAAGACTTCCGATCGAGCATGTTTTTACTCCGGCCAACAGGCATGTTTTTACTCCGATCAACGAACTTTACGACTTTCTGTCAACTCCATTTACAAGAAGAAACATAGAAAAAACTAATGTTTAAAGAAACTTTGAAACCTTCTTCATAAGGTGCTTGGCTCTCGGATCATCATATTTACGAAAAAAATGCACGTCAACAATTCGAAAAGGGCATTTCCACTGGTTTTTGACACAATTGTTCTCAAATCCCAACTTATCAATTAAAAAAGTGTTTGAAATAAACACCCTAGTACAATAATTATTTATCCCAATTTCATCAACCAGCGAGCGTTCAGTTGAAATTCTCCGTCTATGAAAGCTTTCTCTCAATCGATCACTATAGACTTGATTTCATGTTATTCATTAAGATAAGAATGTCTGATCTATATGACTGAGTTAAATAGCAGAACATAAATAAATTTTCAACAAGAGAAGCACAGTAACTACAAGAGTTTAGTAATTTGAAGGAAGGAGTTCATAATTAAGTCAGCGCTGCAGTACCGGCAAGTACCACATCGGCCTACAGACTCCACTCTGCCAAGTTATGCAGCGTTCGTTAGGTTGTCTGCCGCTGCATATGCTGGAGGATTTTTTATCTCAGTTTTGAAGGGTTGATGCATGTACGAAATCAGGTGCTATTGCAGGTAAGTGCTGGGCCTGACACGCTCATGTTTTCCTATTGCAGATACGTGCACGGCAAGGTACGTGCAGGGCCAGGCACGCCCTTGTTTCTCTATTGCAGATACGTGCACGGCCAGGTACGTGCATCGGCTGGTGCGTCCATGTTTTCCTATTGCAGATACGTGCACGGCCAGGTACGTGCAGGGCCAGGCACGCCCTTGTTTCTCTATTGCAGATACGTGCATGGCAAGGTACGTACCTCGCCTGGTACGTCCCTGTTTTCCTATTGCCGGTACGTCCAAACACGTGCTGGGCCTGACACCCCCCTGAGAATTGACTTTCATTGCTTCTTCGTTCCTGCACCTCCCAGGGTTAATGAAGTGGTAATAGTAAAATATTTTTATAGGCCTGGCGCAGTGTTTAGAGATAATTCGACCGCGTAATTAGGATAAATCTGTATTGAGATATCACCAGCATCATGAGTTTTATTTCACTAGATTGCTTAAATCGCAAATTCACTAAAAATTTTAAAGCAAAGAAAACCCCACAAAAATTCACCATTGCTTTACTGAGAAAGTTGTTCTCTTGACAACGTCTTCTGCAACGGTTGTCCTCTTGATTTAAAGCCAATATTCTATAACAGATACCTCGATTACAATATCTATCATTTTCAAGCATCCCTCTCTTGTTAAAATTTTCTTTGATTACCTAAACTTGCAACATAATGCAATTAAATTTAACGTGGAACTTCAATCTAACAATAGTTTATTCTTTCCCGACTGCAATTTTACGAAACCTAACGGCCGTTTTCAAACATCTGTTTTCCGTAAATCGACTTTTACCGGCCGAAGCACCAGCTTTTTAGCTTTGTTTTGTGTAGTGTGCATCTGCTTATGTTGGGATGACGTCACGTAATTTTATTCTAGGGTCGCAGAGTATACAGGGAAGAGTTATAGGACTTGCAGTTACTACTTGCAGTTATTGGACTTGCAGTTACTATCGCGCCCTCCTCATTTGGCAGTGCGCGCACTCAAGCCGAACAGCGCAACGTTCCACAGCCCAACAGTGACCATGAGGTTTTAGATTTTGGTTGTGGATCTTCCGATCTGCGTATTTAATCAGAATCATTGTAAATTTTCAAAGAGAGGCCTAGTTTAAATGCAGCCTTTATCTTTTATCCACCGCAAATTGTGCATAGATAGATTTTAACTTTATAATTCATTTGGTTGGAATTTATGTTTTAACTTACTTTTTTTTTCTTTTTAATTTCGACTGTATTAATTTCTGATTGTTTTAGTATTCAAGATTTTTCTAACTGACGATGGAGCTGTACTAGAAAACATTTTCAGTCGCGATATGGTAAATATTTGTGGAGTTTTCTTCTATCTCTTTTAGATTTTTAGTGAAGTTTTATTTATAGCAGTGGGTCACGAGGCAAATTTAGATATAAGCAAAATTAAAATATGCGCAATTCTATTCAACTTAGGCAATTCTATTCAACTGCGTAAAAATACGAATTATATAATTATTTTGTATTGCAATGTGCATGTCACTCATCACCATGAATTCTGTCTGCATTCAAGATAACGGGATTATCGAATCTCGGTGATTATTTTCTCCGGCAAGGGCGGATGAAGCTGCTTGTTCATTATGAACGTTGAAACATGAATACCAATTGGAACAACATCGTTGCGCATGTCAATTATATCTTTTCAAATATAAAAGTTTCATAAATAATTAGCAAAATGTTTAACAGAGTTGAATTGATCAACCTTATCACTTCAATGTGCTTCCTAACCACATGCATCAAATATTTAATCTTTCTATGCCTATGCATCATGTAGCCGGTTGATGAATTGCCAGGAAGATAACACACGCACTGGCATCAACCGCACGATGCGTATATATCATAAATCAAAATATATGTCACGTGGATATATGTTCCATGTACCTTGTGAATCAAGTCACGAAAAGTTCAAGAATCGGCACCAGGCCATGGGCCTATTTCTTCAACGCCGACACTTCTATTCTACTTTATTTCCAATAAAGTGAACTGGGAAAGAGATGTGTTTTAAGAATTTGCGTGCAGTGAAAAGTGTAGATTCCAGATCTGAAACATTTAGAAAAATCTGGCCAACTGCGCGCAACGATCAGTGGAAGGTTCAAAGGCTCGTATCAGCTTTCTGACAGCTAGGATGGAGGGACTCTTCGATAATCATTTGCCCAACGATGGGCTAGCGAATACTTCCATAAAAACTGACATGAAGTTTGTTCCACTTGAGAAGCAATGCAGGCAATCAAGTAGATTGCCTGACAAGATGAGGAAACGGTTCTTGGTTCATGGCCGAAGTCTGGGTTCACGGCCAGCATTGCGTTATTGGAAGTAGGCGACGCGTGTAATTGGCCGTCCAGCGGCTACGAGGCCGGGTCGTCAT